GATCTAATATGTGAATATATCCAGTCTGTGGTATAGACCTAGTAATTACAGTGGCTAGATAGTATACTTAATAAATACATGAGCCAACTGACTGTTCTCCATCTGACAGTGAAGCCTGTATTATGTCCAAGGGTCAAAAGAGTACTGAAAATTTGTATTCAAGTACAGTCATGCGGCTAAAAAAGTACAAGTACTGATGCCAAAATTGTGCTTAAGTAAAAGTAAAAAGTGTGCATGAAAAATACTACTCAGAGCACTAGTTACAATTTTAGAAGCATTTTAAATCATACTTTTATTCAAAACCTGATCAATCAAAAAGTGTTAAACTGAATTTTGCCAAACTCTGACTGATCAGAGCAGACAGTGCAGTTCTGTTCTCTGTGTTTGATGCTGTAGAATGTGCAGACACAAATGCATTACACAAATGGGACTTTCAGTACACTTTAACTTCTACTTCTGTGATTTAGAAGTAACATTTATTACAAGTACGTATGTTTAAGTCTGTATGTTTAATCAATTAGGCACAGTAACATGAGTATTTGTAATTAATTACTTGCAACCCCAGTTGTGACATCTTGTGAGCGCTAAACCCAACACTTATTTTTTTCCTTCCAAACTTATTTAATTGTGAATATTTATCATTTAACGTCCAGTGCATAGGCTACAGATATGGGATTCTTTAGGCTCAACACATCAGCAAAACTACTAAGAGGTTTAATGGAGTCACATCACATGACTCAAACTTAGGAATAGAGAAGAGAAGTTTTTGGTCTGATGACTTCCTCTACTGGTGAAAATGACACACTTACACTCTGTCTTGGCCCCCAAGCCTATTTATGTGCTCATATGCCGGCAGAGGAGACTGTTGCCTCTCTCTTTCTTTTTCTTTCAGTTGTTACTTGTATCACGGTCACATAAACAGCCAGAGCGAGTCCAAAAACACCCAGAGGAATCAGGAACAACCAACTCCCTGAACCTGTGGGTAAAATGACAAAGGCACAATTAAAATGTCTGTAATTATGTGCTTTAAAAATGTTTATAGGCCTTGGCAAGGCTCTGTAACCTTCTTCCTCCGGTGAGCTGCCTTTATAAAATGAAAATACCAGAGAGTTACTAATTTTGGAGGTTGCAAGAAATGTATTCATTAGCTATAAGAACCACGACAGGCCTTAGATGGGAACAGTTAGCTGCCCATAAAACATAAACCATAATCCATCTATTAGTGCACAGAGTTGGGAATGAAAATGATCCATTTCCGAAGGTAAAAGGCAGTTAATTAAAATTACTCAAATTTGTGTTATTCAGCACAATACATAAAGGCCTGATTCTAAAATCCCTTCACGGGCTTCACAGAAGGAAGTGCAGAGCTCCAAGCTACAGGTTGGAAGCCCCTGAACTAGACTATATTGCTTTTGTATCATCCCAAAAGTCATGGTTTTCAACTAGGCCTATCACCTAACTTAACTTAACTAACCTAACTTTTTTTTTTTTCTGACCCAGACTCTATCAAGCCTGATTTCAGATCAACTGGGCCACAAAGACTTGAAATTTGACTTTGTTTTAAATTGACTTATTTTGAGCTTTGGTGAGCTTTTCAGTCTGCTTTTTTGTAATTGGAATTTTCTGAATTTCTCAAAAATCTACACGAACTGTTCTAATTTCCTCAGAGTGAATTAATGAAGGAACTTAAAACAAAAATATACTTTCTTACCGCTCGTGTTTTCATATGATTGTGACTCCACAAAATGACATACATTGGTGAAATTAACTATAACATTCTTCTCATCAGCGGGGTTTTGAGACACACATTTGTGCTCTGAGGTGTTATCCTGCAGTTGCACAGTGAGGAGCAGCACTGCAGAGCTGCTGCTGTACACACGCTGCTCTCCTCTGAACCAGCTCAGTGTGGTCTGCTCTGTGAGATTCACTGAACACTGAAGAGTGCAGCTGTCAGCGCTCACGTTCACACGGAACACAACTGGGAGTGGCAATGGCTCTGAAAATGTAAAAAATAAAATAAAATAAATTGTCGGGTTTGAGATGACATCAAAACATCCTGGCTCAATAATAGACCTATTACAGATGGAGGGCAGGCAACTAAAATGAATATTATTAAAGATGCTTGTTATGGGTCAACTTAGTAATACAAATCAGGCTAAACCATAGACTGGACATAGCTAGCCCTTGCTGCCTCTGTGTTCCAAATAGAAAGTGAGCATGGGGGCACTTCCGGCTCCATCGACTCTGGCTCCATTTGACTTGAAATTGTTACCAGTCTCTCCGTAACTACTGCAATGAGCCTCTTCATTTTGGTATTAAAATGTTCATATTCACCAGCTCTTTGTGGTCCAGGTGTTTTTATGTCACTCTTTTGTCCATAAATTCTTATTCATAATATGGAACTGGCTTCAAATTTGTTCCTATAACTGCTAGTCTCGTGAGTTTAATTTGACTGGAACTGAAAGTTGTGGGTGATGTCGCACTCCCTTTGTCCACTTCTTTGTATAGTCTGTTATATACAGTTATTTGTGAATTTACCTTGTACATATTTCATGGCAAAGTTTCATGTATTCAGTATCGAAATGTAGCTCTTGTAACATCTGGGAGTATAGGCTATGATGTAATTCTAGGATTTGAAAACCACAATTTTAGGGCAACCATCTCAAACTGAAGAAAAAGAGGGACAGTTTGTTGAATGTGGTGGAAGATGGAGGGACAGGAAATTTAAACTCAATGACAATAACGCCATATGAGTTTTTACCAATCATAACCATGATCGTAACACACACAGACACACAGGGATAGGTGCCAACACTTTACAACCCTGTAAGCCAGTGCATGTGAAAAGTAATGGATAATATATCAGTTTTATATGTATTGACCTAAATCTCACTTTTGATTAAATTCGTAAGGCACCAGAGAAAAATAGGACTTTCTCTAAATAAGTAAGATCAGGGACAGGGTCTAAATGGACAACCTAAGTGAACTAAGTGAACTAAGGGTCTAAGTGAACAACCAAATGAGGGACGTTCATGGTCACCAGATACAATATCAGTGCCCAGTCTGTTTGTGTGTGAGGGGGTCCAGCTTATTAGTTTCAATTGTTTTTCTTTTCTGATTTTACTTAAGCTTCCGTCCTGAGTTACTTAGACTTCCTCATTCTTGCTCACACTTGGGCATTACTACTAGCTCACTGCCCGCCAATGGTCTCATACGCATCACAAACACAACAGCAAACGTGTGCTAAGCTGGGGAAATATGGCAACTATTCCAATTCATCTCTTCTTCTATTGAGTCTATCACATAAAACAATGATTTAAATAATAATATGTGACTAAAATATATTGTTCTCTGCTGGTTTAGTCCGGTATATCAAACAAGAAAAACATGTGATCTGTGCAGTGTTTTAATGATCTGTTTGTAGAATAATTAATTATGAAAGCTCTATTTCTAAAAGATAAGTAAAAAAAAAAGAAGCTTGATCTGACTCATTAACAATTTATAATAATAGTGGCTATTTCTGCTTTCCAAACATAGGGCTCCCACTGCTGTTACAATGATCTTATTTGATGAAAGTACCGTTTGATTTCTTTCTATTTTGTATTGTTCTAGTTCAGACAAATGCTATTGAACAGTTATCAGTTATATGTCTTTCTTTACTGAGTGATATTTTGTTTTAATACAAATGCTTAAAATGTTACTTACTATAGAGTCTGAGTTCATAATATTTAGAAAACACATTTCCTTTTTTAGAGTCGATGGTGTAAACTCCAGAGTCACTTTTCTGTAGATCTGAGAGAGTGAAGCGTCCAGTGCTGCTGTTCCAGTGAAGTCTGTTTGTGTAAATGTCTTCTTTAATCTTAAAGACTCCATCAGAAACAGAAGCAACAAATTTAGGTCCAAATGAAAAAAATCCTCTCTCCTTCACTGGGTCTGGAAATGTTATAGATGATCCCACAACAGCTGTTAGGTTAACTCTCACTTCAGATAAACTCAAAGAGATCACTGCAAAGAGAAATGTGAGGGAAGATTGGTGAATAAAAAAATTACAAGATCATCACAAGCCATTTTTTTACATATAGTTTTGATGAATACTTTAAATAAATTTTTCAGTAGTTGATTGCACATTCAACCCTTATTCACGGTAAACAAATTCTGTATCCACCACATTTTTTTCTTGTTCTATAGATCACTTAGGTGGACAGTGTGAACAGTTTATTTGTTTTAAGATACATTACAGATACAGTTATTTTTAACAAAAATGCAATACCAATGTTAGGTGCAAATATAGCCTGAATAATGCGTAAAAGGGTATTAGATAAAACATCTTAAAATATTGTAACAGATGAAAAAGGCTCAAATGAACTTCATTTAACGGTGTACAATGTCACTTTTCTGTTTGGGGGTGGGGGGTGTCTGCCTGTTATTGAATATTCATATATGTAAAAAATATAATGCCATACTGTGGAACAATCCAGACAGAGCAATAACATCTCTATGGATCCTCCACCAGACCAGTTATATAGTTTACCCTTAAAAAACCTCAACAATACTTCTAAATCTGCTCTACACAAACATGTATCTCATTGTATTTCCTAAATAATTAAAACTAAATAACAATTACCTGAGAGTAAGAGCACAGCGCTGAGATGTAAAGCCATGGTGCACCTTCAGTGGTTAGTTCTGAATGTGAGCCACATCCGCTCAGCTACTTTTTTAGATCAACTTTCCGATGTGAGAAAGAATTGGTTTCACACGAAGGCCAGAATAAACTTCACTTTGATTAGTTGAACATATTGAATAAAATAGAAAAAATAAAAACTAATGTTTGTGTTCATACTATTGAATTATTGTATAAAAACTAAATTCTATAGTAATTCTGAAACATTTCATGCCAAGTACATTAGAAGAGGTAGGCTTTCAGTTCTTCCTACTTCCCAGACACTTTCCCCGTCATCCTAAATACTGATCATCAATTCTAGAAAGCAGCAAAAACATGAAATGCTTCAAACTCTTTATTGCCTCAGGTTTACAGTAAGAAATCACAAAAAACTTTACTGATTCGGTGTTAAAAATCAAGCAAAGTTCTATCAGAAAGAAGAAATTATGATGTTCTTTTAAACTCCACATCCAGCGATGTACGAGCTCAGGTCTCGGCCCTGACAGTAACGTTGCCATGCCACCCTGTAAAAACAGAAAGAGAAAATCAGTAAGTGTTACAGTGGCAGAGTAGTTATCCTGTCTCCTCCTCTCAGTAAGGAGGTTGTGGGTTAGACTTCTGATCTCTGACATTTTATTACTTTCCCTTTATATTTTAAAACAAAGTGTTCTGGTTGTAAATAAGACTCTGGTTTATGATTGGTTGGTTGTGGTCACATGACTCACCAGGCTGAGACTCCATTGGGGTCCCGCACGACTCGTTTGGCGCATTCAATGGCAACAGACGGGTCATCGCTGAGAAGAGCTGATGAGTCAGATGAAAAAAAGATCAGATAAACATAAAAGAAAACTCTAACATGTTTGGCTCTGCTCCCTCCACACCTCGGTCCTGCTCTAGTCCAAGCTAAGGCCTGTTTAGTCCTGGTTTAGGCCAACTAGATTTTGGTTTGTTTTAAGCATCTTTTTAAATATTTAGTCCTTATACTTATCTAGTGTTGGGTGGGATCAGGTCACATCCCCATTTAACCCTAATTTTTACGTTTTAAGAAGAAATATTAGTAGTAGTTGTATGTGTAATCCCTCAGTTGTCCAGATAGGATCCATAGCAAAGAGAAATTAATTTCTGTCAAATGGAGAGAAGGTTTTGATCAAAGACAATTAGCAGCTCATCCAAGCAACTTCTTTAGTTCTGGTCAGATTACTGGCGGAAACTACTTTATATCTGCCTGAGGAGGGGGTAACTTTTCTGAAACTAACACACGGATTTGTTTAGTTTCTGTTTGTTTTGCTAAAATCTGAACCTCACTATCCTCAAAGGAGTGGTTAGTGGCTTTAAGATGGAGATGTCTTATGCAGTGGCTGTTTTGTTTCTCCAATATAACACTCTCTGCAGTCTTCACTACTCTGAATGGAGTTTGCTTTATTTGTGGCCCAGGGTTTTGTCAGGGAGGACCAGTTTCTGTCTGAGTGTTTGGAGATTTGAAATACACGGGGATTTCACATTGTCTGAAAATCCTCTGCAGCTTTTCAGAAACACCAATTGTGTAAGGAGTAGTTACACCCTTTCTCCTAGGTTTTGATTCTCTGTTGTCTCTCTTTAGGCAGATATAAGGCAGTGTTCACCAGCAGTCATCTTTGAACACTTTAGTCCATTCGACAGAACTGAATGTCTTTTCTCTATTAGTAGTAGTTCCATAGCAGTAGTATCTGCAGCAGCAGTTTTTCAAGTAATAGAAGTAACAATAGTAGTTGTAGTAATAGTAAAATGGCAATCCATTAATCTTTCCAAACCCTCAAAGCCGCTTAACATTTTCATTTCATACAGGCACTGACAAGGTAGTAGGTGTAGTAGGAGTAGTAGTAACAGTAGTAGTTGCCGAGTTGCAGTAGCCGCAGTACTGAGTTTTACCTGAGCATTGGATTCCACAGCCGTTGGAGGAGTTCACTCCTCCATCTCTACACCACCATCTGCTGTTGATCTGGAAAATGCCGTAGTCTGTGGAGCCGTCTGTGTTCCTGTTTGTGGCTCTGGTGTTGTAGTTAGACTCGTGTTGAGTCAGACACACCCCTGAAGAAACAAGGGCTACTTAAAATATTGCACAAAACTGTAATTATATTAACAGGACATTATATGGACATATGTAGACAGATTTTGTCCAGTAGCAGATCTAAATTAAATCTGGAATTAAATCTGGACTAGACCAGACAATCAGGTTTATATCAGGACTAGACTGAGCTCAAATCAGGATCAAAACAGGAACACACCCTTAGTCCTGCTTTAGAACTTGTTTATTCCTTTTCTATATTCCTGCTGGCTATTTCTAGTTGTTGTTTAGTCCTGTTTTAGTCCTATAGTCTAGTCCTGCTTTAGTCCATGGTCCATTCCACTCCTCGTCCTAGCCCTGCTCTAGTCCTAGTTTGGTTCTGGTTTTGCACACAGTCTGCCAGGCTTAGTCTTGCCCTAGTCCTTGTCTAGTCCTAGTTTAATCTTGGTTTAGTCCTTGTTTAGTCATTGCTGGTCCTGGTTTAGTAGTTTAGTCCTAGTTTAGTCCTGGTTTGATCCTGGATTAGTCCTAGTAAAGTCCTGGTCTAGTCCTGGTTTAGCCCTGGTCTAGTCTAGGACTGGTCCTGGTCTGGTCTTGGTTTAGTCCTGGTTTATTTCTGGTTTAGTTCTGGTCTTGCACTCACAGTCTGCCAGGCTCACTCCTTCATAGTTGTGCATCCCTCTGCTCTTTAGAAGACGAGCCCATTCACATCTTTCAAAGATTTTTCCCTGTGCCACAGCACAGAGCAGCGCCAGCAGAACCACACCCTGCACCTTCATCTCCATCAAGCAGAATTCAGCAAGGAATGAACCAGGACCCGACCAGGAGTAGACCAAACCTGACTCCAGACCAGTATTTATAAGCCTTCTCTCTGACTGGAAACTCCCCCCTCTTTCACTTCTGTTCTGAAAAGGTACAGCTGTTACACAAAACAAACAGGATTTATTTAAACTTGATAAAGTTGTTGAGTTATTTTATCCAATCTTAATCTAGTGTAAAGGTGTTGGGAAGAACACCCACATTTGTGACCTCAGAAAGGACTGTATTTTAGGGCTGATTTAAGTATCTTCAATCTTCCCAGGTTGTCCAGCCAGGACAATGAACAGGACGCTAATGCACATTTAACCACTCTTTACTGATGATGAATGTTCATGATGATATAAGACAATGATGAGATGACAGATTCATGACAGCTTCAAGGCTTCTATGAAGACAGAAATAAAATACTAAGAGTAATGAATAAATGAAGCAATTATATTAATGTTCAACAATAATTGTGACAATAATAACATAAATATTTAAATAAAGTAAATACAAATACAAACAAGTAAAAGTGCACAGAAATACTTAAAATGAAACCTATTTACAATGATACAGTGTAACAACATTGGTAACGGCCTGATGGCATTTTCTCATCTAAAACTCAAAATGACCACGGCCCTTGAACGCACCACAGATGGCAACCATAGACTGTATAAAAGAAGTGGACTAAGTGAGTGGGATGTCATGTCACCCACAGCGTTCAGCGCTGCTCAAATGAAGCTCCTGATAATAACGGTTACAGGACCGAATCTGGAGCCACCCTCCATATCTGGAAATCCGACCGTGAGTATCATAGCAACCACAAGAGCCAATCATGATTGAGATTAAATGTGCTCACCCTTCTCACCGGAAAACAGCAATGGGGCTTACTTATAACATACTTATAACGTACTTACAACGTAATGCACTAGTTGTCAATCAAATCTGTTACTAATGCTAGCAGGAGCGACCTTGGGGAATGAAGGCATCTGATTGGGCCATTATTTATGTTCATATCTTGATTTAGGAACAAAATAATAGAATGAAAAATTCAGAATCATGTAGAGCGGGTTAATACAAACATTTTAAGACCAAAATGAGGAGGCTCACCACAGCAGTTACAGAGAGAGAAGCGACAAGATCCCAATGTAAGTCAATTGGAGGAAGGGTGAGAAGGAGGAGAAGGAGCCCACATGTAAACTTCCTATTTGGAACACGGTGCCATTCATATACATGGCCTGTGGTGGCAACAGGGTGCAGGGAAAACGGGAATGTCGGCTGGTCAATGAATGCATCATCAGCACAGATTACGCAACAAAGATGCAGAAGACAGGTACGGGACTAATTAATGCAGTAATTAGAAAGTGGTAATGAATGTTTAACATGACATTAACTGACAACAATTTAAGACAAGTTTGGAAACTTTCTGACGTAAACGACAAATGTGAATAGAATGGATCCCAGACTGAATAAAATAAAAAAGAAACAGAATTACACATTATACTGAAATGATTTACATTCTCATGGACAGGCCTGGAGTACAAGGTGTCCAGGAGGTCTAAGGGGTGTAAACTTTCAGGGCTGTGAGAATGAGTAGCCACCCTATGGCATGCTCGAACTTAAGCTGTCAGTAGCCCTTTGATGCAGCTGATTTGGCTGGCATCAAGAAGAGACGGATGAGAGGGAGTTGAGCTGAAAACGAGGTGCCAAGGCTCTGCTTTGCACAGCTCAACTGGATCAAGAGGGCAGGAAATGACTGAACAGGGAGTCTCTAAGGGTACCCTTTGATGGAGGAATGAAGGCCAGAGGCTTCGGCGGCTGTAACTCTGGATCTGATGCTAACTGGGGTAGATGTTGCACTGTGAGCTCTTTAGGTGGTGTGCACTGTCTGATCTCTTGACTGTGAGAAGTTACTTTGACAAGGCCTTCAGTGAGGTAATTCTGTGTGCCATACAGATGATCTATTACAGCTTCCTTTGGGACACTAAGAAATGGAAGCTCTTCTGTCCTAGGTGGAGGAGAGTCATAATTGGATTTAATTGCTTTTGATTGCCTTGTTTACAGCATCATCCTGGTTTATCTTGATGGTGGACTTCTGACTGGACACATGACTGAGGTGGACAACAGAGGGAGAAGATTGTTAAGAGACACTGAGGGCTGGACAACTGATGCTGAAGGACTTTGGCAGGACCCTGAAGAGTCCATCCAAGGTGAGTCTTGAGAGCAGCTGGGCCCCCCAGTGGACCAAGTTGCACATGTTCATGAGGCGGTGAGAATAGTCTGAGCTGCTGAGGAACAGTGGCTGAGCTTTACTGAATGAATGAAGTGGGACAGATGGTGTTAGTACTTTTGCAGAGAATCAACAGGATGAGAGTGCTTAGCAAGGCCAAGTTTTGCTGCAGTAAAGGCCTTATGAATATGGAAGTGCTTCTGATGTACGGTGGGGGAAATGGAGGAAATGAGACTGAATTGCGTGATAGGTAGGTCTTGGCAGCTTATGGTTAGGTCTTGGCAGCTTGTTCTGAGCACCAAGTCCTCTCTGGGGCCATTGAGATTCATTCAGATCTTGAGTGTGGTGTATGTGTCAAGGCTGGGTCTGCCACTGTGGAGAAGGACTTGCACCATCTTGAGCAAAACACAGCTACTTTGAAGATCTGGATTGAAGTAGTAAATGACTGATCCATGGTGAATGTCTAAACTCTGGACATTCTCTCCGGTCTCAATGTTGCATATTATTGCAGTAAGGACAGTACTTTTGTGGATGCTCTGGTATTTTTGGTAATGAAAGTGTTTGGTGCACAGAGCACAGCAGACAAGGAAATGGGTGTGCATGTCGTCACATGCTCTCCCTGGGGACAGTGCTCTTAGAGTCTGATCTGCTCATCCTTCCCCTCTGGCTCCCTTGACTGCAGTTTCTGGCTGAGGTACAGAATGGGGCATTCCTCTCCTGGATCTCCTTGAACCAACGCTGTTCCCAAGCCAACTGTGGATGCATCCACTTGCACCAGGAATCCTTCTTTGAAATCTTGGCTATTCAAGATTGGGGAAGAACACAGGGTTGTCTCAAGTGTGCTGAAGGCCTGTTCGCATTTTTCTGTCCAGTTCACAAGATTTCATCGGTTCTTCATAGTGAGGGCTGTGAGAGGAGCAGCAATCATGGCACACTGGGGCACAATCTGCTGATACCAGCTGGTGAGGCCAAGGAAGGATCAGATCTCTTTTTTGGTGCGTGGATGTGGACAGATCATGATGGCCTCAACTTTGCCTATGTGGGGTTGAACATCTAACTGTCGCATTTTGTCTCCTCTCAGGCCCACTCACATTGGGATGAGTTGGAACCTCCACCAGAAAAGTTGCATAGTGTGATTTTAATGTTGTTAATCTAGTTTTAGTTAGGACAGTAATTCATAGTCCCCTTATCATTTCAGCCTATTTTTCCTAAAATGCCTAACTAAGATGACTCTCTCATTTCAAAATGAATCAGTTTCTGAACCCTTTGGAGCTCAGAAAAATGGCTGGACTCTTTGTGAAGCTGAGTCCTTATAATATTGGCCTCTTCTGTTCCCAGTTTAATTGGGAACAAGCTATACACAGAGGAAAGTTAGATTTCAAATTCCACCTACATTTTTGGTAGTGAATATAAGAATAGGTATAGCTGGTGTCCCTGAGGATGTCTTGAAAGACAGCAGATTGAGCTTTTGTTGAGTCTTGACAATTCCGATGTCAAAGCTGAAGTTATGCTTCAGCTCACAAAACATGAGAGGCAAAAAGTCCAGGCAGTGTTGGGAGTACAAACTGATCCAGATTCTTCTCAAAATGGTTGATTTGACTGAAAATAAGTTACAGATTTCCATTAATGTTTTAGATTTCCATGAGATTGACGGTTCTCTTTTATCAGAAGCTGGACAAACAGATTTATTTTTAAAAAGTACAAGGGCCCTTATCGGCCACCTGGGAACATGGACAGGTTTTCCAGGTTTAGTGCTGAAGGTGCAACTGTCAGCTTCTCCTGGAGGCAGCCTGAACAGAGGATCTTAAGAAAGAGGCTTGGAGAGTTAGAACAGTTCTCAGACATGTCTGTTTATTGGTTCAGGCAGGTACAGGTCTCAAGATTCAAGTTGATTCAGCATGATTTTGCCTACGCGGCGTCTCTGTGTGCGTCGGTCGTCCCTTGACAACGCAGTCGACGTTCCCCCACTGATGCACAGAAAAACTGGGTGCCTTTTATACCAGCATAACTGTTGAGTTAACATCTTCATGGAAACATACACAGCAGTTTTGTCCCAACACGTGTCCCATAACAGGTTGGCATATGCTAAAGGTTGGAGACACACCCCTTATCTGTCCCATATACATTCACAGTCCATATGACATCATATCCCAACCCCATTGACACTCCAAAGTCCAGAAACATACACAGCATGTACACAGGGACTCATTACAGGGTGAATTAACATATGAATGAAACTTTAAAAACACAGGGAAGAAGCCCACACAACCATCACCCAAAAACGGTTAATCGGACACCCTTACCACAAGTCTATCTGATCTGAACTCCACAGCGACATCTTACCACCCAAATTCGATCCCAACAAGATTAAGTTTGTGCATGTACAACCTATTGTACATGAGGTGCACAGGAGAAGAAGTTAGAGTCACTTCAGCCTTGGCTCCTAAGCTCGGTCCTCTGGGTCTGCCTCCCAAGAAAATAGTTGACAACATTGCCAAAGTGACCAGTGACTGGAGAGGCCTGAGGATCACTGTCAAGCTGACATCCAAAAGAGACAGGCAGCTATGTTCTGGGGAGAGACATCATTCAAGCCTACAAATCAGGTAAACGACCCCAACAGTGTGGAACGTGCGAGGTGCATTGACCTTGGGTGGGTAGTGATAGAAGATGTCTGCCTCTCAGGTACCCATACACCCACTGTGAACTCTTTTAAGACAAACATTCTGAACAATGATCGCCCCGCTTTTTCACTCTTTGTAAGAATGTAATCAATATTAGAAAGAAGAAAAATACACAGTAAGT